GAAGAAGGTGAGGGGCCCCGCGGGCCGGCTGCGTGGGCACCACGAACCAGGGCCCGCGTGGGGCTGGTGCTCACCCGTGTCCCCTTCCCGCCTCGCAGCTCTACGCCAAGCTGCAGGCCGTGAAGGCCGAGATCCAGGACCAGCACGACGAGTACATCCGGGTCCGCCAGGACCTGGAGGAGGCGCAGAACGAGCAGACGCGGGAGCTCAAGCTCAAGTAGGTGCCCTCGGGCGGCCCGTCTGCTGCGGGGACGAGCGCGCGACCCAAACATGTTGTAAAAATATATTCAAAAAATGGAACCTGGCCGGGCAGCTGGCTGCTGACACGCTACTTTGGCTACCGCGCTTATTAGTGGGGTAGAAACTCCCTATTAATGGGGTAGGAAGCATGGGCAGTGAAGGCCTCGTGCCGGAGAACTGCAGCTGGCAGGGCCGGGGCTGGAACCGCTCCGTGACCCGGTGGTCATTGGGCAGCGCCGGGCACCCAAGGGCTTTCCTTCTAACACAGCTAAAGCATTTTAAGCACCTGCAAAGAAAAGAAAGAAGGAAACAACAAAAAAGGCAAAAAGAGCAATCTGGGGTGGAGAGCAAATGCTCTTATGGAGGATGACATTGCTGGCCTGATGCAGAGTGACTTTTTGGCCTGATTTCAGCAGCTCCCTGTAATTCTGACCTTACCAGATACAGTTTACACGGCTCACGTGGAGCCCTGGGCCAGCCAGCAGGGATTAAGGTGGCTTTGCTCCGCAGGGCGGATCGGGAGGTATTTACCAGGCGGCACCCGGAGGCAGCGCGGCCAGGCCGGCGCTCCCGGCGGGACGAGGAGGGATCAGGGATCAGGACGTCCTCCCCTTCCGTTCTGCTCCATGCGCGTCCCGTGTCCTCATCTTGGCCACGTTACCCCCTGCCTTTCCCGCTCTTTCCCGCCCTGCCCCTTCTCTCTGCTGACACGTCCCTTGTCCAGGTACTTGATCATCGAGAACTTCATCCCGCCGGAGGAGAAGAACAAGATCATGAACCGCCTGTACTTCGACTGTGAGGAGGACCAGTGGAAGTTCCAGCCGCTTGTTCCCGCGGGAGGGTAGGTCCGCCGGGACGGCGCGGCTCCCCGCGCTCCCTGCTTCACCGTTTGGGCGAGTTTCCAGTGGCTCCTCCTGCTTTCTGGTCACTGTTCCTCTCTCGACGCTTTGCTTTTAGAAACAGCAACCAAATGAAGAAGAGGCCAACGTCGGCCGTGGGCTACAAGAGACCCATCAGCCAGTACGCGCGCGTGGCCATGGCCATGGGCTCGCACCCCCGGTACCGGGTGAGTGGGAGGACGCGGGCGCACCCGTGCCCGGCGGGAAGGCGTTTGGTCACGGAGGGACGGAGGGATTAAATACCCTTGTGGCAACCTGCAACGCTCAGCTGAAACCCCCAGCGTGAGCACCCCGCTCGGCAGCATCGCTATCCGTGCGCACGGGCTGGTCCCGGAGCTGCTGCCCCGCGGGCCCACGCGGCTCCTGCGACTGGTCTGGGAGGACGGGGACGTTCAGGCTCTGCTGAATGCAGGAACACGAAAGACCCGGGCAGCCTCACAGGGCCCTGGTTCTGGCGCTTGCCTTGTTGCTGCTCCGAGCAGAGGAGGTTCCCTCGCCCTAGCGCGCAGCACAGCTTCTCTCCCAGCGTGGATCTGCCTCCCTTGGTGCCGTGTTTGGCCTCCCCGATGATTTTCCTTGGCTCTTTCGCTCCGCCCTGTCCTCCTGCAGGCCGAGAACATCATGTTCTTGGAGCTGGACCTCTCCCCGCCGGCCGTGTTCGAGTTTGAGCGGAGCCGGGACCCGGCCGAGCAGGATCCCCGCGCTCTGCACCTGGAGAGGCTCATGCACCTGGACAGCATCCTGGAGCGGCCGGCAGCCTCCCGCGTGCGGAAGTCCCGGTCCTGGTGAGTGCTGCCGGGCTCCTGGGAATCGCTGCTGCGGCGGGAGCGCGCAGGGAACGCAGGCGCTCGGGACACGGCACGGAGGAGGAGGTGGGATGGGGGCCCTGCATGCAGCCTCCCCGCAGCTCTGCCCTCACCTCCACCGGCACCGGGACCGGGTTCTGATTCATTAGCTCCTGCTCTGGCACCTCGCAGCCGTCAGGACGTGTCCCCAGAGCTGGCAGTGACAGCGTTTGTGCTGGGGACGTGTTACAGGAAACGGGTTGTTTCCCGTTTCTATTTTGAGGCTGTCCAAGGGGAACCCGGGCCGGAATTTCCAAACGTGGCAGTCTAGCACCTAGCTGGCGTTTGCACATTGAAATCACTCTCCAGCGGGATCTGCTCCCCTGGATCTGCCCGGCTTTGAAACCAGCCTTGCACTGTTAGTGTGTAATTCCATTTAAAATCCAGTTAACGTATGACTTTGGTAGCGCTAAATGGGTACCAAAAGTATCAATGAGGTTGTTCAGTGAGGATGAAAAGCAGGATGGGGATATGGGAAGCACAGAAGGCGCTGTGCTGTCCAACACCGGCTCTCCCTTGATGCTCGGATCTGCCCGGCTTTGAAACCAGCCTTGCACTGTTAGTGTGTAATTCCATTTAAAATCCAGTTAACGTATGACTTTGGTAGCGCTAAATGGGTACCAAAAGTATCAATGAGGTTGTTCAGTGAGGATGAAAAGCAGGATGGGGATATGGGAAGCACAGAAGGCGCTGTGCTGTCCAACACCGGCTCTCCCTTGATGCTCTTCCTATAAAAACTGGGACAACAGCCGGACTCTCGGCAGCAGGGGACGATAGGAGCCGGAGGAAGGGCCAGGACACCCAGTTTTCTCCTTTGCTGCCGCCCGTGCAGGTGCCAGGCGCCGCGGTCGCTGCCGTCCTCGGCCACGCTGGCCTC